GCTGGAAACTATTTTCCGAGTCCCTACACAGTGTGGGCCAGTCCCCTACCACAGTGTGGGCCAGTCCCCTACCACAGTGTGGGCCAGTCCCCTACCACAGTGTGGGCCAGTCCCCTACCACAGTGTGGGCCAGTCCCCTACCACAGTGTGGGCCAGTCCCCTACCACAGTGTGGGCCAGTCCCCTACCACAGTGTGGGCCAGTCCCCTACCACAGTGTGGGCCAGTCCCCTACCACAGTGTGGGCCAGTCCCCTACCACAGTGTGGGCCAGTCCCCTACCACAGTGTGGGCCAGTCCCCTACCACAGTGTGGGCCAGTCCCCTACCACAGCGTGGGCCAGTCCCCTACCACAGTGTGGGCCAGTCCCCTACCACAGTGTGGGCCAGTCCCCTACCACAGTGTGGGCCAGTCCCTACCACAGTGTGGGCCAGTCCCCTACCACAGTGTGGGCCAGTCCCCTACCACAGTGTGGGCCAGTCCCCTACCACAGTGTGGGCCAGTCCCCTACCACAGTGTGGGCCAGTCCCCTACCACAGTGTGGGCCAGTCCCCTACCACAGTGTGGGCCAGTCCCCTACCACAGTGTGGGCCAGTCCCCTACCACAGTGTGGGCCAGTCCCCTACCACAGTGTGGGCCAGTCCCCTACCACAGTGTGGGCCAGTCCCCTACCACAGTGTGGGCCAGTCCCCTACCACAGTGTGGGCCAGTCCCCTACCACAGTGTGGGCCAGTCTCCTACCACAGTGTGGGCCAGTCTCCTACCACAGTGTGGGCCAGTCCCCTACCACAGTGTGGGCCAGTCCCCTACCACAGTGTGGGCCAGTCCCTACCACAGTGTGGGCCAGTCCCCTACCACAGTGTGGGCCAGTCCCTACCACAGTGTGGGCCAGTCCCCTACCACAGTGTGGGCCAGTCCCTACCACAGTGTGGGCCAGTCCCCTACCAGTGTGGGCCAGTCCCCTACCACAGTGTGGGCCAACCACAGTGTGGGCCAGTCCCCTACCACAGTGTGGGCCAGTCCCTACCACAGTGTGGGCCAGTCCCCTACCACAGTGTGGGCCAGTCCCTACCACAGTGTGGGCCAGTCCCCTACCACAGTGTGGGCCAGTCCCCTACCACAGTGTGGGCCAGTCCCCTACCACAGTGTGGGCCAGTCCCCTACCACAGTGTGGGCCAGTCCCCTACCACAGTGTGGGCCAGTCCCCTACCACAGTGTGGGCCAGTCCCTACCACAGTGTGGGCCAGTCCCTACAACAAATCGTACACTCTGTATATACCATTTTGGTACACAACCATTACATCTAGTTGGGAATTTTTTTAAGCATAGCATTTTTATATTAAGATGCCCAAATGCTACATTGATAATAAAGTGTTGTAAAATTTATGAATTTAACTGACGTTATCAAGAAATGACAATTTTTGTATTTTCCTTTTCAAACTAAAGAAAGTATTAAGAGCAATTCGAGTATTTCAATAAAACGCTAGGGATATTTGAAATTGAAACCCATGCTATATATATATATATATATATATATATATATATATATATATATATATATATATATATATATATATATATATATATATATATATAATGGATTTATATTTGTAAAGTTCTTGATTCAGAAACGATTACAATAAATTTATCAAAAATGTAGAGGAATGACAAATATTGTAATAGGTCATGTCTGTTAGGCCTCCTTACCCCATTATGGATGAAACCTGAGTAATCCATTAATCCCTTAACCCTTATACAAGCAAGAGTTTAGGAGTATGGACAGTTCTGGGAGGGGGGGGGCAGTCAGGGGCATCACCCACCAGAGGAGTAATTTATCATTAAATGTTAAGATATGTAACAGGTAAATTACTTGTATACCAAGTAAGTAATTATCAAAAGAAGGCACTAAATATATACCAAGTAGTTTAACATGAACACTGAATACCACTTAAACATTCAGATATAATATTATTCAAGGATATATACATTTAACACCACAGCTGCTCCAAAAATTATGCAATAGGCTCGAGTAGGTATACTTCAGTAATCATGCAAAAACGGATCATAAGATTCAGTCATATATATATATATATATATATATATATATATATATATATGTCGTACCTAGTAGCCAGAACTCACTTCTCAGCCTACTATTCAAGGCCCGATTTGCCTAATAAGCCAAGTTTTCCTGAATTAATATATTTACTATAATTTTTTTCTTATGAAATGATAAAGCAACCCTTTTCTCTATGTATGAGGTCAATTTTTTTTTACTGGAGTTAAAATTAACGTAGATATATGACCGAACCTAACCAACCCTACCTAACCTAACCTAACCTATATTTATAGGTAAGGTTAGGTTAGGTAGCCAAAAAAAGCTAGGTTAGGTTAGGTTAGGTAGGTTAGGTAGACGAAAAAACATTAATTCATGAAAACTTGGCTTATTAGGCAAATCGGGCCTTGAATAGTAGGCTGAGAAGTGCGTTCTGGCTATTAGGTACGACATATATATATATATATATATATATATATATATATATATATATATATATATATATATATATATATATATATATATATATATATATAAGTAAGCAACTAGTATATAAATCATGCTACATCATACCGAAAGCATATTCAAATGTAAGTCCATTAACTATCGGGAAGTAAACTCCGTTGGACTTGAAAATTTCCACATTGGTTATAAGGAATTATGGGAGCGCCTCGGCCCGCCGACCTCGTCTCCATCACGCTACGGCTGGCCAGTCATATGATGGCTACAGTAATTCTAGAAATATTCTGCTCAGTTGTCAACAAACACCTGACCCTGTCTAGATTATATTCAGGAACTACTAGAGAATAAGTGGCATGCACTAGGAACAAAAAGATGGTCATACTTGGATGGTGGAGGAGTGGATAACGACGTCTGGTCCCCACAACACCGTGAATCCATCTGCCGACAGTTTTGGCGCCGGAATACATCACATTCCAGAAGTGGCTCGAATTATAATTCTGAGTATTGTTAATTAATTGCACAGGCCATTACTCAATTAATCCCTCTGACACAATTATTTCTACATCCAATTACATTACAATGTCTCAAGTAATATTTTTTTCGATCAAGTAAAAAACAAAATAAAATAGTCAACATTTGAGGACTAGTTGTGATGGGGAGGAGGTGAGGCGGCCGTAGTCTTGGCGGGAAACACTGGCGCGGATGTCAGCAGCTACTTGTAAACTTTAACATAGGTGTACACCTCCGTCCTTCCCTAATATGTCTACATAGTATGTAATATGAAACCCTCGGGAAAGTTCAGGAAACTCACCAAAATAAAGTACATTTGCGTTGACGGAAAATCAGTTACTCACATGACCTGTGTGGTGATGGTGACATCACTACTCACAAGACGTGCTTGGTACCAACACAAAACCTTACAGTTGTCTGTTAAAGGTACCAGATGGCCCATAATTCCGTTCGTTAATGTGATAGTGAACGGTCACTGGCTTTGACCACAAATATTATATCGTTGGGAATGCCCCGGTAAACCAGTATTCCCGGGTTCGTTCTCGACGCACAATCGAGAATTCCGGGTTCGAAGCCCGGGCGGGCAGCCCGTCCTCATAAACAAAGGCCAAAGTCCATTACATGCACCTGCCAAACCCCCTGTTTATGAATGAAAAGCGGTTTACTCGCGACTCACAACTGATGACGTCCGAACACTTCCGGAACAAGTGCTTCACTCACATCCTCTGTTCGAACCATAATTCAATAAATGCTTCATCCACGTCCTTCAAATACCAGCCCGTCCTCCAAACAAAGATCCAAAAGTGATTCCATGCACCCGCCAAACCACCTGTTTATGAATGAAAAGCGGTTTACACACGACTCACAACTGCTGACGTTCGAACATATCCGGAACAAGTGTTTCACTGACGAATTTTGTTCGAATCACAACGCTATAAATGCTTCACCCACGGACTACAAATACAAATAATCGCCAACAGAACCTAAACACCTAACCTAACCTAACCTATGCCTATATATGCACAATATGCTAATATATTATAATATTAATTTATACTTGAGAAAATTCCCATTTTGAATGAACAGCATATTAAAATTTATGAATGCGTCTGTGGGGTCGACCGCTGGATGTAATGGACTTGAGTCGAGGACGGGTTGCAAATACAGATAATCGCCAACAGAACCTAAACACCTACCCTAACCTAACTATACATAGAATTTTTATGTATAATAATATTAATTAATATACGAGAACAAACCAATTTTTAATATACATTATGTTAAATGTGATGAATGCGTTTGGGGAGGACGGCCGCTGCTTTAAACAGCCTAGTGTGCAACCCGTCCTCGGACCAAGTCCATTCTATCCAGCGGTCGACCCCAAGACGCACTCATCAATTTTAACATTCTGTTCATTCAAAACAAGAATTTTCTCAAATATAAATTAACCTAACCTAACCTAACCTAAAAGTAGTATTTTATATTATCAAATTGTATATATTTAGGCACTGGTTAGGTTAGGTGTTTAGGTTCTGTTGGCGATTATTTGTATTAGTAGTACGTGGGTGAAGCATTTCCAGTGTTGTGGTTCCTCAACCCAGCCTCCAAACAAAGACGCCCTTTACGGGCTCACCATAGCCCGTGCTACTTAGAACTTGTTCAGAGTAGCTGAATCTATAACAACAAAGACGCCCCCGGTACTTTTGCGGGGACGAGTTGTGGAACCATCTGTATAACCAGTTTTCCAACTGGCCTCGGCAAATCTTTACACGACTCTCCAGAGAGAAGTTGAGACGTGGCGTGGTGTGGTGTTGCTCTAACTCTTCCCCGCAGCACACTACGGCTCTACACCTGTGACACTAGTAATATTGATATGATTTAAAGGTAAGAACAATGTAGACGAGGTCCTATTACCAAGTCCTAACTTAGGACTAACAGGTGAACTATCATTAGGGATCAGTCAAACCATTTAACATAATATATTTCAGTTTATTTTAAACATTGTAAAAGGTATCCAGAAGCCTTGGGATGTAGTTGACTTTGCTTCAGAAGACAGTCCGTGCCAGGAAGACAGCTCTGAGGCGACGCTCACAACGTAGGTATCACGTTGATGGCTGTGAGAGTCAGGGCGCTCTGAAGGCCGCTGCCACACACGCCAGAGAGTTGAGGAACTCCTCAAGCGCTAAGGAGTTCTCGTTGAAAATATTTTGGGCAATCTCAATAAGTGCTTGAGCTTCTTCTTCGATGTGAGCGCTTATCTCCTCTGCTCCCTCGAAGTCCGCCTAGAACACAACGTTAGACGATGAGTCACAATAACGTGGCTGGAGAAATGATGACTAAACTCAGAAAATGAGTTGTGGTTTGGTCACACCACAGCTTGGTAATAATGCTCACACGTCTTGATAATGATCCAGGACGGACCGAAATGTCGTCGCTTCTTAATATTGTGAGTTGCGGTTTGATCATCACAAAGTGACAGTTTGTAGGGAACATCATCACTAAGTTTAGTGAGGCTTTTGTCATGCCTCATCTCCCGAGCGGACCACGATGCCCCGGTACTTGTGCGGACTGACCTGCCACCCTGCCACCACCCATCTAGTGACCTGCCACCCATCTAGTGACCACACCTACCACACACTTGGCCTACCCCCCTTCTGGCATGACACTCTACCTCCCCCCCTCACCTACACACAAGATGGCGGCCAACTGATGTAAACAATCCTCACAAAAGCTACAGTTTGCAGATGGTTTACAACTTGACTTTCTTAAAATTATATATTTTGACTAAAGTTTGTGCAACACTTGTTGTGTCTGAACAGCCTCACATCCTGCCCTGTACAAAACTCCTCCCTAATACCTCCGTCCTCTCTCCTACTACAACATCCACTTACTTATAGCAAGACGCGGTACTCGTACAACCCCTCTCTTGTACCTCACCCCGTCCTCCTTCCTGTAACTACAACACTCAACTATTCACGGAAGAAAAGCGGGAGTTATACTCACTATCATGGAGCCAATGGTGAAGTCCATGACGAGGGAGCCCTCTTCGATACAGCCTCCCAGGGGGTCTAGGGTGATTTCTTCGGTCAAGAAGTCAACGTTGAGACCGAACAGGATGAACTCCAAACTGTGGGCGACACCGAGGCTCAACACACATCTTTATGATTTCAATTTTAAACAGGTACATAGTATTATTGCCATCAATATGTCATGCAAAAAGCAGGTTCTACAGGACAACGCGTACTACCACAATTGAGCATCAACTTACTCTGCTGTGCCTGAGCTGTACATTTCCTCGCCATTAAAGGTGCCAGCGAGGGAGTAGTCCTCTGTGCGGAAGGTGACGTTGACCACGGCGTCCACCTTCGTCTGCAACAGTTACCTTAGTGAGCAGTGGGGGAGGGAGGGTACACCATACCTGTGTTTAGGGTAAAGGAGACACTACACCCTTCCTGGGGAAGTGGGGTAGCTTCACCCTACTAGTAGACAATGGGCAAACACAACTAGCGGAAGTCACAATAAGCAGAAACTGACAATGTCTCTGCAGCGCTCTATGGACCCTTAGAGACTCTTCGACTCCCATCTGACTCTTAGGGACTCTTGGACTTCCATCTGACTCTTAGGGACTCTTTGGACTTCCATCTGACTCTTAGGGACTCAAGAGACCCTATGGACTCACTCTTAGGTCTTACACTACAATGTATACATCACTCAGTAACCAAACTAGAGAGGTAATTATAGGCGTTAAAGGAGAATAATGATGTACCTGTTTAGAGACGAGCGGGACTGGCGGCTGGAAGAAGGTGACCACAATGTTGGAGAACCCGCCGTGGACGGTGTCGTTAGCGTTGAACACCAGGCTGTTGGCACGAGTCTGCGTTAGTGGCTGTCTGCTGAGGCAGGCTCTCTTAGCTAGTAGTGTCTGCTGAGGCAGGCTCTCTTAGCTAGTAGTGTCTGCTGAGGCAGGCTCTCTTAGCTAGTAGTGTCTGCTGAGGCAGGCTCTCTTAGCTAGTAGTGTCTGCTGAGGCAGGCTCTCTTAGCTAGTAGTGTCTGCTGAGGCAGGCTCTCTTAGCTAGTAGTGTCTGCTGAGGCAGGCTCTCTTAGCTAGTAGTGTCTGCTGAGGCAGGCTCTCTTAGCTAGTAGTGTCTGCCGAGGCAGGCTCTCTTAGCTAGTAGTGTCTGCCGAGGCAGGCTCTCTTAGCTAGTAGTGTCTGCTGAGGCAGGCTCTCTTAGCTAGTAGTGTCTGCTGAGGCAGGCTCTCTTAGCTAGTAGTGTCTGCTGAGGCAGGCTCTCTTAGTTAGTAGTGTCTGCTGAGGCAGGCTCTCTTAGCTAGTAGTGTCTGCCGAGGCAGGCTCTCTTAGCTAGTAGTGTCTGCCGAGGCAGGCTCTCTTAGCTAGTAGTGTCTGCCGAGGCAGGCTCTCTTAGCTAGTAGTGTCTGCTGAGGCAGGCTCTCTTAGCTAGTAGTGTCTGCTGAGGCAGGCTCTCTTAGCTAGTAGTGTCTGCTGAGGCAGGCTCTCTTAGCTAGTAGTGTCTGCTGAGGCAGGCTCTCTTAGTTAGTAGTGTCTGCTGAGGCAGGCTCTCTTAGCTAGTAGTGTCTGCCGAGGCAGGCTCTCTTAGCTAGTAGTGTCTGCTGAGGCAGGCTCTCTTAGCTAGTAGTGTCTGCTGAGGCAGGCTCTCTTAGCTAGTAGTGTCTGCTGAGGCAGGCTCTCTTAGCTAGTAGTGTCTGCTGAGGCAGGCTCTCTTAGCTAGTAGTGTCTGCAATGGGCAGGGTGAGGTAGGGCCCACAACACAAACTAGGGCAGGGTGAGGTAGGGGCCCACAACACCAACTAGGGCAGGGTGAGGTAGGGGCCCACAACACCAACTAGGGCAGGGTGAGGTAGGGGCCCACAACACCAACTAGGGCAGGGTGAGGTAGGGCCCACAACACCAACTAGGGCAGGTGAGGTAGGGGGCCACAACACCAATTAGGGCAGGGTGAGGTAGGGGCCACAACACCAACCAGGGCAGGGTGAGGTAGGGGGCCACAACATCAACTAGGGCAGGGTGAGGTAGGGGCCACAGCACCAACTAGGGCAGGGTGGTGGTGGTCGTACTCAGCATGGTCGGTGACAACATGGAGGTCGTTGATGCGAGGGAAGACGATAGGGTCGTGGGGTGCCAGAGCCGCCTGCAGCGCCGCCGTCAGCTCCTCCTCCAGGATGCCATCTGTTAAGAACCAGTAAGTATAAGGGTTGATCCCATCTATCAAGAATGAACTACAGTCTTTCTCTGGTTCTTACCTTATAAATCATGTATAACATAATACAATTGTTCTCTGGTAGACTAATTGTATCGCTATATTAGACAGCAAAACTTGAAGTGTAGTATTCGACATTAATAAAAATATTACGTCAAATTATACCACAAATACTATTCAAACTATTAGTGTCAATAATCAATATTTTACAGTTTTTAGTGCTGGGGGGAAGTGAGAGTTAGGTCAGTACGTGGGTGTAAGTCGGTTCAGTGGGTCCCTACCCACTAGACAAGTACATGTACGTGGGTGTAGGTCGGTTCGGTGGGTCCCTACCCACTAGACAAGTACATGTACGTGGGTGTAGGTCGGTTCGGTGGGTCCCTACCCACTAGACAAGTACATGTACGTGGGTGTAGGTCGGTTCGGCGGGTCCCTACCCACTAGACAAGTACATGTACGTGGGTGTAGGTCGGGTCGGTGGGTCCCTACCAACTAGACAAGTACAGGCACGTGGGTGTAGGTCGGGTCGGTGGGTCCCTACCCACTAGACAAGTACAGGCACGTGGGTGTAGGTCGGGTCGGTGGGTCCCTACCCACTAGACAAGTACAGGCACGTGGGTGTAGGTCGGGTCGGTGGGTCCCTACCCACTAGGGAAGTACAGATGCCTGGGTAAAGGTGTAATCATACACTCACAAGAGCAGTGCGGCAACACTGAGGCCACCAGAAGAGTGACGATGAAGCTGCTGAATCTGAACATGGCGAAGCTGTGTCACAACGATGACTATCCACTGGAACTCACACCTGGAAAGAACAACAACACGTCTATTACAGGGGGGTCAAAGGGGGCCGACTATGCCAAGGCTACAAGTCAACAATGAATGACTGTCCAGCACAAGGCGGAATCTACAGCTGTCTGGACAAATTATTAGAATGGTAATGTAACCTTCATCGACAATGAAGACAGACTGTGTCTTCATGCTGTTGCTAAGATGGTGGGAAGCTGTTACTAGGGGATGGTAGGTAATCTGGGAACAATTAGCAAGAATGTTTGGAAGCTTGTGGCTGCTAGCAAATTAACAATGATGGAAGTTAGAAGTGTATTTCGTAACTGCTCCTACGAGTTGTTGACCTTCTGACCGGACTGAACGTGTGAGTGGCCAGTCAAATATTGATTTTGAAATATATGAATTGAAAACATACGTCATTAAAGCACAATAGAGAAACATGTGTACTAAACACACGAGTGATTACAGGTGCCATTAGAGGTGGAAATAGTTTGGGAGGAAGTTGTACATCACATAATCTGTGATGAGCCTGCCACACTATTATACACGCCACAGTATACACACCACACCATGAACCAAACGCTACCACAGACAACAGCAAAACACGTTTAGTTGCCCAAATAACCAACCTATTTGATGAGGACTTGTCTGTGAGGAGCTGAGGTGACTGTCTTGCGTATATATATATGCTCCTGTGATGGGGGGTGTGGGGGCGGGGGGCTCTTTGTTAAGGGGGGAGGCTTCCTGTGAGGGGGCAATAGGGGAAGAGGACCCCCCCAGCAGAGAGGGAGGCTCCTGAAGTTGGGAGGCATTCCGGAGACAGGAAGGTGTGAGTGGCATATGGGTAGATCTCACACCTCTCCAGCTCTGGGAGTTTTTTTTTCATTTTTTGGGCCTCGATAACCGCATTGGGAACTCACAGCCTGGCCCAGCCAACGGGAGCCCTGGCAACAGGAGCCCCGCACCGCGTGGGATAGCCCCGGACTACTACCATTACAACGTTGGCAGCTACAAGCGGTGAGGACAGTGGACCGTACAATCCACATTTTTTGTAAGTCTTGACGTACTACGAAAGAGTACTAATTGACACTTTCTCAACACTGCTTGTTATATTCTCAGGGTGTATATTATAAGGTATATTATCAACCATCTTAGTCGTGGCTACCAGAGGCCCGGGGCTGGCCGCCGGCTGCAGCAAGAAGCGGCCCAAGCTTCAAGATCAATAAATATCTGAGCCGGACGAGTCAGTGAGTGTAGCAGGTGACCCATTTCCTGAGTGATTAGTGTTTGTCGGAATATGAAATAGGTGTTAATGATAATGACACCAAGTGTAAACTATGTTGTATGTTAAGGTCTCACACCCTCACCCGTTATGTTCTGGATTGTCCGTGGATTAATGTATATAGAAACACTGGGATAAGGACTGTTCCTGAACAAATAGCCTGGATGTGTCACAACGGAAAGGTTGATGATATTCTGGTTAGATATAAGAATTTTGCACCAAGACTGTAACCTTTTGTTGAATTGTCTGAATGTTTTGCAAATTGTCTATATACCTAGTCATAAAGGTATTTGTGTGTACGTCTGGTAACAAAATGCATGTGTAAAGAAAGAAATATATATGTTTATCACTCAAAATGTTCGGTAATATGTTTATTATTTGTGATGTGTCTATGTATTGACACGTTGTACTGAACGGAGTGAGAATAGCTTGAGCTACCTCATCCCTTTGTGTGTATTTATACTTTAATAAACTTATTTCAATTTCAATTACAGTGTGTGTGTGTCCTCTCGCTCAGAGCTGCACGCTAATGCACACTCGGCAACAATATATATAAATATACTAGCGTGAGAAGTAAGACCGGCCAGGTCCCATGGAGTCCCTCTTGTCTGTACTGACATTCACACTCTTCCCATGCCCCCTCTAAAGTTCAGGACGGTCTCCTGATAATGGTCGCAGTTCAAGGTGTTGCCAAGACTAGTTTTTTTAGTGCCTCTTCTCTCCAGTGGCACTAATTCTTGCTGGATACAGTGGCACTAACTCTTGACAGCTACAGTGCCACAATTGCCAGACAGCTTGGGCTCATCGTATGTACGAAATGCTCTATTTTGATAAGTGTAGTTAATATTGATAAAGGAATAATTGCTAAAATAATGACACAAGACATGTAATGGAGGTGATGGGAGCGGCCTATCGACACCTCAATACATGAATGACCTGACCAGCTGCCTCGTTGTATTGTTACTGCCTCATGTCACGTTGATGCAGACGTTATGTTGATGTAGACGTTATGTTGATGTAGACGTCAGGTTGTTGTCTACGTTAGGTTGATGTGGACGTCAAGTTGATGTGGACGTTATGTTGATGTAGACGTCAGGTTGAAATCTACGTCAGGTTAATGTCTACGCCAGGTTGATGTCTACACCAGGTTGATGTCTACGCCAGGTTAATGTCTACGCCAGGTTGATGTCTACACCAGGTTGAAGTCTACGCCAGGTTGAAGTCTATGCCAGGTTGATGTCTACGCCAGGTTGATGTCTACGCCAGGTTGAAGTCTACGTCAGGTTGATGTGGACGTCAGGTTGATGTAGACGTCAGGTTGATGTAGACGTCAGGTTGATGTCTACGCCAGGTTAATGTCTACGCCAGGTTGAAGTCTACGCCAGGTTGATGTCTACGCCAGGTTGATGTCTACGCCAGGTTGAAGTCTACGCCAGGTTGATGTCTACGCCAGGTTGATGTCTACGCCAGGTTGAAGTCTACGCCAGGTTGAAGTCTACGCCAGGTTGATGTCTACGCCAGGTTGATGTCTACGCCAGGTTGATGTCTACGCCAGGTTGATGTCTACGCCAGGTTGATGTCTACGCCAGGTTGATGTCTACGCCAGGTTGATGTCTACGCCAGGTTGAAGTCTACGCCAGGTTGAAGTCTACGCCAGGTTGAAGTCTACGCCAGGTTGAAGTCTACGCCAGGTTGAAGTCTACGCCAGGTTGAAGTCTACGCCAGGTTGATGTCTACGTCAGGTTGATGTAGATAATGCTTGCCCTCTATATACTCGGGGTATAGTGTGTACACTGGTGTCCTGGCAGCAAAAGTGTTAAGGGATCATTTACCGCAGTGACCCATGCTGGCCCGGGCGTCTCGTCCAGCCCGTCCTCCTAATGTCCCACCGGCAAGAAAACGGACTATTTAGTGTCCTCTCCTAACCTACCAGAGGACCACAAAACGGAAAACGGAATATTAGGTCACTTTCGCCAGCCAGTTCCATTTTCAAGAACGACAATTTTTGGCCTTGTGTAACGCCTACGATCGAAATGCGCCGTATTTTGAAAGATGAGAAGTTGTCTAGGCAGCCTAAGGTGCATGCGGTGTTGATCTTCTCAAGTCTCAGTACGACTTCTCCAAACTTCATGTATCGACAGATTATTATAAAACTATGTTAGAATATATAAACAAATACATCTCCAGAAGGCTTACTGGTCCATGTTAGGTAACTCCTGTTTATACATAATCACTCCCACTAGTGTACTTGTTCACACTTTGTCATACTTATCCAACCACCCCCTACTTGTGTACTTATCCACCCCCCCACCCCCCTCATGCACTTATCCACCCAATGCCAGCGAGTCAGATTGTATGACGTCACTTGGTAACTTGTTGCCAAGAAATGCTTCCCTATTTTGTTGAAAACCTCTAAACTTCTCCAATTTGAAAACAATAAACAGTGACGACTGTGTGGGGGAACGGAGTTGAATTGTTTAGAACTCTGGCCTCGTCCCGTTCAACACTTTCGTACATCTGAGCATTTTATCCTAGTGGGTTCGTACTTACGAGGCCACTTACGTACTATTTCTTCACCATTACCTGACACTTTACGTCGCTTCTAATGGGTCAGTCCTGTGACTGACCTCTTTGTAATGAGCTTTAATTTATTCTTCGTCGTGGTTATTCATAACTCATTTTTGCTTTTCTTCCAGTGGACCATCCAGTACCCAGACCTTCCAGTGGACCATCCAGTACCCAGACCTTCCAGTGGACCATCCAGTACCCAGACCTTCCAGTGGACTATCCAGTACCCAGACCTTCCAGTGGACTATCCAGTACCCAGACCTTCCAGTGGACTATCCAGTACCCAGACCTTCTAGTGGACCCACCCACCAGTGGTGGGTAACAACATGTAGCCTACACCACCAGTGGTGGTAACAACATGTAGCCTACACCACCAGTGGTGGGTAACAACATGTAGCCTACACCACCAGTGGTGGGTAACAACATGTAGCCTACACCACCAGTGGTGGGTAACAACATGTAGCCTACACCACCAGTGGTGGGTAACAACATGTAGCCTACACCACCAGTGGTGGGTAACAACATGTGTAACAACATGTAGCCTACACCACCAGTGGTGGGTAACAACATGTAGCCTACACCACCAGTGGTGGGTAACAACATGTAGCCTACACCACCAGTGGTGGGTAACAACATGTAGCCTACACCACCAGTGGTGGGTAACAACATGTAGCCTACACCACCAGTGGTGGGTAACAACATGTAGCCTACACCACCAGTGGTGGGTAACAACATGTAGCCTACACCACCAGTGGTGGGTAACAACATGTAGCCTACACCACCAGTGGTGGGTAACAACATGTAGCCTACACCACCAGTGGTGGTAACATGTAGCCTACACCACCAGTGGTGGGTAACAATAAACTACGAAATGTTAGTTAGGTTACTACATAGGTTAGTTGACGGTAAAAGGCTTATCTCAAGCGTGGCAAAGCCCTGGTAATAGGCATTCCCTTCCGGTAATCCTGGACCCTTGTAGGGAGGAACACTGTGGTGACTTAAGTAGCCTCGTGGTCCACCAGGCCGACCCTTATATTGTCCGCTCCTACTGTTCCTGCCAAATAAGTGATACGTAATACACTGTTACCACTACACAACATATATTCCAAGATGTGTTTGTATTAATAATTTGGCTTAGCCATTTTGGTTTAGAGCGCCTTAGTTATAACCGGGCAATGTTAAAAATATCATGATAATGGCCAATAACAAACTACAATAATTCCTCGGAAATAACACTTCCCTGGTACGATGAGTTCGTTGGTTGGGGCGGAAATGTTTCTTTTCCGTATCAAGAACTCGGGAAATGTGACTATGGTTGGCAATTTAAGAGATAAAACGTGCAGGCGTCTTCTCTACCAAGCGCCTCAGGTCGTGTGCTGTTGCCTAATGGCGTCGCCTCCCTCCCCAGCTGGTAACAAAACTCGTCATTGTCGACATAGGGAGAGAGACGGAGACGCTTGATTTACTGTTCATTTAGATAAATTAACTATTAACAAGTACCTTTTTGTCTTATTTACTCTTTAAATTGAAAATTGCTTGTTACTACAAGAGAGAGAATATATGTATAAAGTGGATTTTGCACACATGACAACATCCCGTTCTCTCTAAAATGTTATCAAATCCGTTCTCTTTAATGAGTTTCCAGTATCTAGAGCTTCCAGTGGACCATCCAGTACCCAGACCTTCCAGTGAACCAGTTCTTGGTAATGATGTTTCGGTCATTATATATTAGTTTGCTTAATAAATTTACTTTAGCAACATATATAATTTGAAACAATTATTTAATTAATGCGTTTTTCATTATTGCGCATTCCAATCTCTTCTTTATCATTCCTGTTCCTTCTTTATCATTCCTGTTCCTTCTTTATCATTCCTGTTCCTTCTTTATCATTCCTGTTCCTTTTTTATCACTTCTGTTCCTTCTTTATCAATCTTGTTCCTTCTTAACTATTCCTATTCATTCTTTATCATTCCTATTCCTGTTGTATCATTCTTATTCCTTCTATATCATTCCTATTCCTTCTTTATGATTCTTGTTCCATTTTGTATCATTTTTGTTCTTTCTTAATCATTCCTATTCATTCTTAATCATTCCTATTCATTCTTAATCATTCATATTCCTTCCGTGTCATTCCTATTTCTTCCTTATCATTATTGTTCCTTCTTTATTATTTCTTCATTATTATTCCCTCATTATCATTCCTTGTAATTTCAAGCCATTGCCAAATTCCCAATGCGTAATTTTTCAATTTTGTTTTTCCTTTACATTTATCACAATTATCGTCATAACAATCATCACTATAACCACGTCCATAACTAGACGACGTTAGAGGTCAAAGATTTGTCAGTTATCAACAAAGCTCCATTAATTAACTAAGGGCTAAATTAATCATTCTAAGGTTGAACTATTATTTGAACCAGCTAGTGAGCTAGTTTCTTGATCTTGAGAATTTATTTGAGACGGAGCCAAAATTACTGCATGAGATAATAGAACTGTGTGTCGCCATGAAAATAGATTTAGGCTGATTGGCAGAAGAAATGAAGCAGTTGTAGGACTGTGTGGCGGCACGGGACTAGGCTGCGGAGGATGGCGTTCCCGTGAAAACACTTTGGGCTGTCTCCAATTGAAATTGAAATAAGTTTATTGAGGTAAAATACACACAAAGGGATGAGGTAGCTCAAGCTATTCTCACCCCGTTAACAAAGCTGTCTCCAAGGATAGGGGGGGGGGGTAGAAATAGCCTAAGCTACTCTATCCCTTTGAGATGTATTTCTTTCTTATCTCAATAAACATACTTGAACTTGAACTTGAATCCAAGGATAGGGGCCTTGGGAAGATAATGAAGAAGCCATTGGTACCCACTATGAAAACCTCCATCACATTCTCTGTACTGGAGGATCGAGGGAAGTATAGGTGCTCTTTCTACAAGGGAGACAGAAGGGTTCATGCAGGAAATAGGACAAATAATCGCCTAAACAGCAAAGGAAATAACAAAGGGATATTAATAAGGTGTTAAATACATCGACACAAAACAATGTATATAAATTGGTTAAGTTTAGATTCAGGAGCAGACGAGGAGTCACAATAACGTTGCTGAAATATGTTGACCAAACCACACACTAGAAAGTGAAGGGACGACGACGTTTCGGTCCGTCCTGGACCATTCTCAAGTCGATTGTCGACTTGAGATTCAGGAAAAATTTGGGTAAATACTAGTTTGAAAATAGGGTGGTTGATCTGTGGAACAAATTCTCGGGTCACATAATATATGAGGGATGACTTGATTGTTTCTAGTGAAGGTCAGACATATATAAATGAGTTTGGGTGGATATAATAGAAGCTGCCTCGTATGGTCCGAGAGTGCTTTTGTAGTTTTCTTATTAATTCTTATGCTATCATTAGGAAGGGAACAAAACAATAAGAAAATTTATTTATGTTTATTTTAAGTAATGCAAATTTTCGCTTTATTGACAAATGTGAAAACCTCTGAAATTTTAGCTTTAAGCATCATTATTGATCAGCACTTGAGAACTCTTTGGTAGTGACGTCATCGGTCTATGACGTCATCACCAAGACCTAACCGACTTCCTGACTCATTTCCTCTTCACTGACGTTGACGAATTATGATATTTTAATGACAAATTGTGCTGTATAGTTGAGCCAAACAATCTATGCATTACCATTAGAAAGTCAAAGTCTGAAGATGTTGGTAAGACTTGAAACAGACAGCAAGTGAGTTACGAAGCAAAACACTAAAGTTATATAATGTTTACAGTTGTAGAAAGTGCGACTATCCTCCTTCTTGCTGCCGGTGTGAGGCACTTAGACACAGAGGAGGCCGTTGACGATCCCCTCGATCTCCTCAGAGATTGAGTTGAAATATGCCTCGGCCATATCTACGAAGAGTCCAGGATTGGCATCGATGTCTTGGTTGATATCATCGGCGCCCTCAAACTCTGCCTGTAACATCAGGCACGAGGCTGTTAGTTATGAGCGTCAACAATTATAGTGTGGCTTCATTAATGTCCCAACACCCCAGTGGACTATGATGTCCCAACACCCCAGTGGACTATGATGTCCCAACACCCCAGTGGACTATGATGTCCCAACACCCTGTGGACTATGATGTCCCAACTCCCTGTGGACTATGATGTCCCAACACCCCAGTGGACTATGATGTCCCAACACCCCAGTGGACTATGATGTCCCAACACCCTGTAGACTATGATGTCCCAACTCTGACAATCACCTGACCTACAATAGAAAATACCAGCCAAGTGATTTAAGCCACACCCACAATCCTTAATTTTCTCAGTTTGACCAGGTTTAACCCTTAGGCTGCTGACAAAGCTTATACGAGTTTTATGATCACTACATGTTGCTAGCTGGATTTATAAACAATTCAGTAGTGAAACTAAGTAAAACTATGTTCCCTTGTGTATTTTTGGGCAGGATCTGATTCTTGGGTAGAATTATGTATTCTTGGGCAGCAAACATGTGCCTTTGCAACACGGGCAGGTGTTTGGTGTTATAATTACTACAGCTAAATATAGGAAAACACTTCCAATAAATGTATTAGTTTTGATTATAATCTAACTGAGCAATTTAAGGGATAGGTTGACAAAACTGACATTTTCCTAAATTTATTTATATCTGGTTCACTTAAATTATATATATAGTGCTAAAGTGTTTAGTATACCTGGTTGAAAGTATATAATGTTTGCCTAATTTTCTAAACATTATTTCTCCTTTGTCGTCCCCCCCCCCTCCACTACCCACAAGAGAGGCAGGAGGTGTACTCACGTCGACAGAGCGTACGGTGAGGTCAATGACCAGGGAGCCGGGGTCGACGCACACAGACAAGGGGTCCAAGGAGTAGGTATCAGAGGTAAAGTCAACGTTGATCGCGAAGCCTTCAAGGAACAAGCTGTGGGGAAACACACACCATCAACACTCACATATTTACACCGTTTACAATCTTCAACATTCAGGCTTTTGACCTTAACATCTAGAGAAGTTTCTGACTCAAGAAGCAGCGTTGCCAACTTACTCGGCTTTACCGGCGTATGCGACTTCCCCTCCGTTGAAGGTTCCAACGATGGTGTAGTCGTCGGTGTGCCAGGTCCAGTCACTGGTCGTCTCAATCCTCACCTGCAGGTGGTAGGAAGGGCACTCTTATCTCAGTGGGTTGTTGTTGTTTTAGATTCAACTACTTAGAACAAAAGTTCCAAAGTAGCACGGGCTATGGTGAGCCCGTAGTGGACTTACCTGGCAGAGGAGCAGGGCTGTAACTGCCTCTCAGTGGGTGGGGTACGGCATTCTTATCCTACTGAACGTTACGTTACTTTAAACTTAGTGCGGGTACGTCACTTTTATCATTGTGGGGGTTACATCACTCTTATGTTAGTTGATTGATTGATAAAGATTAAGCCACCCAAAAGGTGGCACGGGCATGAATAGCCCGTAAATGTTAGTCAGGGCGCGTCGCTCTGATATAAATGGGGAAAGGTAAGACAATCTCCTCTCTCCTAATTATGGTGGTTCTACCGCAGTAGAAATGAGAGGAGTTGGGGTAGATTTACCTCATTAAAATAATAGGGGTAGACCTACCTCGTTAGAGATGAGGGGAATTGGAGGTTCGAAGAAGGTGACCACAATCTCCCCGAAGCCCGTCACGGGGATCACGTTAGCGTTGAGCAGGACACTGTGGAGAGTGAGATACTTGTCAGTGTTACTCTTGTGGTCAGTGTTTACCACAACACGTGTCTTGACAGATATTAACAGGTGTTGGCAGGTGTGAGGCAGTGATACAAGTTGCAACAGGTATGTGTTCACGTGTTAAATATTGAACATACTCGCTGTGGTCGGTAACAACAGGCACGTCAGTGAGGTTGTTGATGGTGTACGGGTCGTAGGGAGCCAGGAACTCCCTCAGCGCCGCCGTCAGCTCATCCTCCAGGATGCCGTCTGTTGAGAACAGATAAGTGTACGGGTTTATACCATGTGTTGAGAAGGGCGCTCTCAATCTACAGTTAGTGTACGGGTTTAGGTCATGGTCTATCAAGTATGGAGCAACAGAGGGTCATTCTTCATTCATGTGTGAAGCAATGTGAACCTTAAGGTTATTTCACAAACATTCAAGATAAACTGTTACACTGAGTGAAAATTTAAACCTGTTTTAGAATATTCAAAATTCGAGTAAATATCATCTCAAGAGTATCGTTCGAATATTATTCAGAGTATTACCTCTAGTATTAAATCATTCAAACAAGGACACAACGTTTTATCCAGTTTTGGTGAGGAGAGAGAGCAAGTAGGAAGTCTTAAGTTAGGCCCGGTGCAACCAAAGCTTGGGAATGGTAAAGTTAGGCCCGGTGCAACCAAAGCTTGGGAATGGTAAAGTTAGGCCCGGTGCAACCAAAGCTTGGGAATGGTAAAGTTAGGCCCGGTGCAACCAAAGCTTGGGAATGGTAAAGTTAGGCCCGGTGCAACCAAAGCTTGGGAATGGTAAAGTTAGGCCCGGTGCAACCAAAGCTTGGGAATGGTAAAGTTAGGCCCGGTGCAACCAAAGCTTGGGAATGGTAAAGTTAGGCCCGGTGCAACCAAAGCTTGGGAATGGTAAAGTTAGGCCCGGTGCAACCAAAGCTTGGGAATGGTAAAGTTAGGCCCGGTGCAACCAAAGCTTGGGAATGGTAAAGTTAGGCCCGGTGCAACCAAAGCTTGGGAATGGTAAAGTTAGGCCCGGTGCAACCAAAGCTTGGGAAAGACACGAACAGACAGATTTGTCGGTGGCTTCCCACGCGCTGTTAGACAAGTATATGTACGAGGGTGTAGGTCGGGTCGGTGGGTCCCTACCCACTAGACAAGTACATGTACGTGGGTGTAGGTCGGGTCGGTGGGTCCCTACCCACTAGACAAGTACAGGCACGTGGGTGTAGGTCGGGTCGGTGGGTCCCTACCCACTAGACAAGTACATGTACGTGGGTGTAGGTCGGGTCGGTGGGTCCCTACCCACTAGACAAGTACAGGCACGAGGGTGTAGGTCGGGTCGGTGGGTCCCTACCCACTAGACAAGTACATGTACGTGGGTGTAGGTCGGGTCGGTGGGTCACTACCCACTAGACAAGTACAGGCACGTGGGTGTAGGTCGGGTCGGTGGGTCCCTACCCACTAGACAAGTACAGGCACGAGGGTGTAGGTCGGGTCGGTGGGTCCCTACCCACTAGACAAGTACATGTACGTGGGTGTAGGTCGGGTCGGTGGGTCACTACCCACTAGACAAGTACAGGCACGTGGGTGTAGGTCGGGTCGGTGGGTCACTACCCACTAGACAAGTACAGGCACGTGGGTGTAGGTCGGGTCGGTGGGTCACTACCCACTAGACAAGTACATGTACGTGGGTGTAGGTCGGGTCGGTGGATCCCTACCCACTAGACAAGTACAGGCACGAGGGTGTAGGTCGGGTCGGTGGGTCCCTACCCACTAGACAAGTACATGTACGTGGGTGTAGGTCGGGTCGGTGGGTCCCTACCCACTAGACAAGTACATGTACGTGGGTGTAGGTCGGGTCGGTGGGTCACTACCCACTAGACAAGTACAGGCACGAGGGTGTAGGTCGGGTCGGTGGGTCCCTACCCACTAGACAAGTACAGGCACGAGGGTGTAGGTCGGGTCGGTGGATCCCTACCCACTAGGGAAGTACAGGCACGAGGGTGTAGGTCGGGTCGGTGGGTCCCTACCCACTAGGGAAGTACAGGCACGTGGGTGTAGGTCGGGTCGGTGGGTCCCTACCCACTAGGGAAGTACAGGCACGTGGGTGTAGGTCGGGTCGGTGGGTCCCTACCCACTAGGGAAGTACAGGCACGTGGGTGTAGGTCGGGTCGGTGGGTCCCTACCCACTAGGGAAGTACAGGCACGTGGGTGTAGGTCGGGTCGGTGGGTCCCTACCCACTAGACAAGTACAGGCACGAGGGTGTAGGTCGGGTCGGTGGGTCCCTACCCACTAGGGAAGTACAGGCACGAGGGTGTAGGTCGGGTCGGTGGGTCCCTACCCACTAGGGAAGTACAGGCACGTGGGTGTAGGTCGGGTCGGTGGGTCCCTACCCACTAGGGAAGTACAGGCACGTGGGTGTAGGTCGGGTCGGTGGGTCCCTACCCACTAGACAAGTACAGGCACGAGGGTGTAGGTCGGGTCGGTGGGTCCCTACCCACTAGGGAAGTACAGGTGCCTGGGTGTAGGTCGGGTCGGTGGGTCCCTACCCACTAGGGAAGTACAGGCACGTGGGTGTAGGTCGGGTCGGTGGGTCCCTACCCACTAGGGAAGTACAGGCACGTGGGTGTAGGTCGGGTCGGTGGGTCCCTACCCACTAGGGAAGTACAGGCACGTGGGTGTAGGTCGGGTCGGTGGGTCCCTACCCACTAGACAAGTACAGGCACGAGGGTGTAGGTCGGGTCGGTGGGTCCCTACCCACTAGGGAAGTACAGGCACGAGGGTGTAGGTCGGGTCGGTGGGTCCCTACCCACTAGGGAAGTACAGGCACGTGGGTGTAGGTCGGGTCGGTGGGTCCCTACCCACTAGGGAAGTACAGGCACGTGGGTGTAGGTCGGGTCGGTGGGTCCCTACCCACTAGACAAGTACAGGCACGAGGGTGTAGGTCGGGTCGGTGGGTCCCTACCCACTAGGGAAGTACATGTACGAGGGTGTAGGTCGGGTCGGTGGGTCCCTACCCACTAGGGAAGTACAGGCACGTGGGTGTAGGTCGGGTCGGTGGGTCCCTACCCACTAGACAAGTACAGGCACGAGGGTGTAGGTCGGGTCGGTGGGTCCCTACCCACTAGGGAAGTACATGTACGAGGGTGTAGGTCGGGTCGGTGGGTCCCTACCCACTAGGGAAGTACAGGCACGTGGGTGTAGGTCGGGTCGGTGGGTCCCTACCCACTAGACAAGTACAGGCACGAGGGTGTAGGTCGGGTCGGTGGGTCCCTACCCACTAGGGAAGTATATGTACGAGGGTGTAGGTCGGGTCGGTGGGTCCCTACCCACTAAACAAGTACAGGTGTCTGGGTAAAGGTGTAATAATACACTCACAAGAGCAGTGCGGCAACACTGAGGCCACCAGAAGAGTGACGATGAAGCTGCTTAATCTGAACATGGCGAAGCTGTGTCACAACAATGACTATCCACTGGAACTCACACCTGGAAACAGCAAAAAAAAATATACATATCATCATCACCATGACTGTTGTGGCGAGAAGGCAAAGGACTAACTTAATTACACATCAGTTACCAAATAAATTTAAATCTTTTTTTCAAATAAATTATCTAGTGAAGAACAATTTAATATTAACAGTGTATCATTGATCACTACAAATTAAGAAGTAATAGTCCATGTCAGTGTTGACGAAGTTTTAATCATAACTTACAGGAGGAGATATTATGTATAGGGAAACTGTAGACTATAAATTATATGAACCGTTACTTAAAATGGAGATTTGTAAACCAATACACATTCACACCGAACAAGTGATCAGATCTCTAGCTCTAACTATCATCTTGGTAGATTATTATTAATCTTGGCGAGGATAATTTAAGAAAATAATAAACACAATTCCGTATTTTAAAACCATTTAAATATATAACTCAAGAGGAAATAGTTCGTGGAATGTGTTCATAGCCTAGTGGACAGTGGTATACCTCACTTGTTTAATGTAGGCTGTACCAGGGCTCTATAGCACTGCTCCTCACCACCTGACATTGCTGGCCACACACTGTACTGTACGTGACACTGGAGGCCAGGTACGTGACACTGGAGGCACATACTGTATGTGACACTGAAGGCCACACACTGTACTGGAGCAAGTGACACTGCTGGCCACACACTGTACTGCATGTGACACCGGAGGTCAAGTACGTGACACCGGAGGTCAAGTACGTGACACTAAAGGCCACATACGTGACACTATAGACCACATGAAGTGTAGAGTACTGGAGAGCAGTATGGGGTAAAATATATCTGGACTAACTGACCAGGAGGAAGCAATGGAGTACCCCGAGCTGAGGGTTCCCCAGTGTGCTAATGACTTCACTTGCACACGATCCACAGTGTTAATAACAATGTCGAAACCCACCAAAATTCGTGTCGACTTTATTGAAGATGTTTCTCCTGTAACGGCTTTATTAAAGCGTTTTTGATGGCCATATGAATTAAATAGGCAGCATATAGCCTAATGGAGGCAGCTCTTATTTATATCTACTCAAACTCATTTATATATATGTTTAACCTACGTTTGAAACCGTTGTAGGTAAACGGCATATTTAGCAAATTTATTTGCATCTTTTTAAATCTATTTTCACCTTTACGTTTTTAAATATTTTGATATTAGATTAAATAACATTTTCATTATATTTTTGGACGACACAAACTTAGGAAACATTGTAAATCAGCAGTATTTGGAGGCCTGGTTATAAACACATTGGTGGATGGTGTTTGCCTGAAACTAATAGGGTCGAAACTACCCTACTAGTTTCAGGGAAAACTAGTAGGACTAGGGAAGGGAAAGTTCGCAGTTTGCTAACAGGGGTCAAAAGTTGTCTGCTAAACAAACACTCTTAAAAACCAAACAAAAAATATTAAAGTAAAATACAATTTGTTGCCAAAAAATGACTTACCTGTTTGACGAGGACTTGTCTGTGAGGTGCTGGAGTGAGTGTGTCTGCTGTTTATATATGGTCCTTTGATGAGGGGGGGTTTTCTATAAGGGGGTAGTATGAGGGGGGGGGAACACTTTGCCATGAGGGGGGCGGGGACTGTAGGCAACACATGGTGGCTCCCACCACCCTCAACACTATTCCCATCAAAACAGTTTTACAGACACTGTCGTGCATTACACCCAGGTTAGGCTTGTGATACTACATTTTATTACACGGAATTATATTACTTGGTATGTAAGTTGATCCATAGGTTTACTAGACGATTAAATCATAAGCAGTTTACTTCTATGGAGTGAAATCGCTTAACTGTCATTTTGAAAGCATTGTTTCAGGTGATATTTGACAATGTTTAATTTAAGCAGTTTTATGGGTTAAGATTGTCATGCACTTTAATGATCTTAAAAGCTTATTATTTTCCTTTCCGAATATATTTATCTTGAATGATCTCATTATGGCACTTAATATTATATAGACTTAATTTATAGCCTTATAATGACTTACTTTACAGCCGTATATTGACTTTACAGACTTATGGAATATTAGTTTACAGCCTTATATTGACGTACATGGTGCGAGTCTTAACCAGGTTGTGCCTCTACAGTTCTGTATATATGTTCTACCCTATGATCTAGACAGATGGGTCGAGGTGCCCAGTACTGATGATAGACAGATGGGTCGAGGTGCCCAGTACTGATGATAGACAGATGGGCCGAGGTGCCCAGTACTGATGATAGACAGATGGGTCGAGGTGCCCAGTACTGATGATAGACAGATGGGCCGAGGTGCCCAGTACTGATGATAGACAGATGGGTCGAGGTGCCCAGTACTGATGATAGACAGATGGGCCGAGGTGCCCAGTACTGATGATAGACAGATGGGTCGAGGTGCCCAGTACTGAGGGTAGACAGATGGGCCGAGGTGCCCAGTACTGATGATAGACAGATGGGTCGAGGTGCCCAGTACTGAGGGTAGACAGATGGGCCGAGGTGCCCAGTACTGATGACAGACAGATGGGTCGAGGTGCCCAGTACTGAGGGTAGACAGATGGGCCGAGGTGCCCAGTACTGAGGGTAGACAGATGGGCCGAGGTGCCCAGTACTGAGGGTAGACAGATGGGCCGAGGTGCCCAGTACTGATGATAGACAGATGGGTCGAGGTGCCCAGTACTGAGGGTAGACAGATGGGCCGAGGTGCCCAGTACTGAGGGTAGACAGATGGGTCGAGGTGCCCAGTACTGAGGGTAGACAGATGGGTCGAGGTGCCCAGTACTGAGGGTAGACAGATGGGCCGAGGTGCCCAGTACTGAGGGTAGACAGATGGGCCGAGGTGCCCAGTACTGATGATAGACAGATGGGTCGAGGTGCCCAGTACTGAGGGTAGACAGATGGGTCGAGGTGCCCAGTACTGAGGGTAGACAGATGGGTCGAGGTGCCCAGTACTGAGGGTAGACAGATGGGCCGAGGTGCCCAGTACTGAGGGTAGACAGATGGGTCGAGGTGCCCAGTACTGATGATAGACAGATGGGTCGAGGTGCCCAGTACTGAGGGTAGACAGATGGGTCGAGGTGCCCATTACTGAGGGTAGACAGATGGGCCGAGGTGCCCAGTACTGAGGGTAGACAGATGGGCCGAGGTGCCCAATACTGAGGGTAGACAGATGGGTCGAGGTGTCCAGTACTGAGGATAGACAGATGGGTCGAGGTGCCCAGTATTGATGATAGACAGATGGGTCGAGGTGCCCAGTACTGAGGGTAGACAGATGGGTCGAGGTGCCCAGTACTGAGGGTAGACAGATGGGCCGAGGTGCCCAGTACTGAGGGTAGACAGATGGGCCGAGGTGCCCCAGTACTGAGGGTAGACAGATGGGTCGAGGTGCCCAGTACTGAGGATAGACAGATGGGTCGAGGTGCCCAGTATTGATGATAGACAGATGGGTCGAGGTGCCCAGTACTGATGATAGACAGATGGGTCCAGGTGTTGATGTCTTAGTGGTCGTCTCTCATAATGATGGCTGAGAACTTTATAACCATTTATGTCTCTCAACATTGCACGGGCTTTATTCCTGCTGTGTTCTGTAATGTTTCAGTTCCAGGTATGAGAACTCTTCAACTCATTTTGGAAGTTTGTTGCTAGGCTTTAGCTCTTGGCTCATATCAACCCGTCGTCTTACAAATTATGTCGCTTTTCGCTCGTATGAGCTACAGGAAAAAAAAAAAAGTTCGCAATTTGAAAATGAAAAATAACTGAAAATATATCTTGGATTTTATTTTTTTCCGAAAAGCAAGTTAAGGATCCTCTGGTAGGTTAGGAGAACAGGAAGCTCTCCTAAGGTTTCAATGCTATGAAAACCGTTAATCCTCTCCTAACCTAACAGCCTAACGGAGGATAAAACAGAAAACGGGACAGTACGTCACTTTCGTCAGCCGAAAGTGACGAATTTCACTTCGAATTACGTCCTTTTTTAGCCTGAGTGCGCATACGAGCGAAAAGCGACGTAATTTGTAGGAGGACGGGTTGCATATCTACTAATCGGTTTGTTATTCATTAACTACTCATTTGTGGTTCAAAATATATCCAGAATATTAATCTTCCAAACATGTTTCTTATCCAGTGAATTTAGGAACTTTGACCTCAGTTCCTAGAGTGAATCGCCCATCAGGATGGCGCAAAATTAAAATCACCGATTTTACATTTTAGTTACATTTACAAAAAAAAATACATAAATTTCTTCATAAGGTCTGGTTACACCGCTTCACCGCGAGTTTTCACTGCTCACGGTGTCATTGCACGATGTAAAATTAACTTCCAAAGTTGTTATAAAAGAGGTCAAAAACAGAGAGTTGGTTAGTAAAAATGGGAGTGGCCAGCCGTCACCAGCGCGCCATATCACAGCATGGGAACATGCACTCGTTAACAACCCACGGCTAAGAATATCATATCCAAATTTCCCAGGGAACAGTTGGCAGACTGTCTGGGGTGTGTTCTTCTCCATGGTGGTGGTGCGCCATATGTTGTAACACAAGAGTGTATCTAACTGTTCGTCAACACTGCTTCCACACTCTGATTGTAATGTTAACAGGGTTAATTTTAGGGCAGCATAGTCCACCGGGTGTTGGGACATCATAGCGCCTAACTCATTGGGACAACTGTAGGTCTAATAAAAAAGGAGGTGGAACAGCTATATATTACCAAGATACCTTCATCTGCAATAATGTCATTAGTGATAGAGACGACTATTGTGAGTATACCATTGCTTATTTTTCGAATAGATCTCTTAAATCCTCCTTGACTATCGGAGCTATCTATAGATTTCCTAATGCTAACATATCTTCATTCTCAGATAACCTAAGGAATCTTATCATAAACAACAATCTCAACAAAAATCACATCATTCTAGGAGACTTAAGAACATAAGAACATAAGAACAAAGGCAACTGCAGAAGGCCTATTGGCCCATACGAGGCAGCTCCTATCTATAACCACCCAATCCCACTCATATACATGTCCAACCCGCGCTTGAAACAATCGAGGGACCCCACCTCCACCACGTTACGCGGTAATTGGTTCCACAAATCAACAACCCTGTTACCGAACCAGTATTGACCTGTGTCAGCAAAATAGCCCCCAAGTTGACTATTTCCTGAACAGCTTGAACTCCTGTATGCTAATCCCCACAATCACCAGGCCCATCCGAATCACTGAAACATCTGCCACTACCTTGGATCACTTATGGACTAGCATAACAGTTCCCCTTACATCTGGTATAATCACTGACAGAACAACTGACCACTGTCCTACCTTCTTCATAGCAAGCATGGACATAACACCACCAGAAAACAAGAAACTTACATTCAGGCTACACACTTAAGCAGCAATAAGCAACGTCACGAATGCACTTCACAATATTAACTTGGAATCTGAATTCAATAATACACAAGATATAAATACTTTAATTAACCTCTTCCTTTCCAAAAGTCTAAGCCTCTACAACACTCACTGTCCCCTCCTCACCAAGCAACTGACAAAAGAAAAAACAACCCGTGGCTCACAAGGGGCATATTCAAAGCAATCAACAAGAAACATGAATATGAAAAACTTAGGATTGGCCTAATTACAAAGGAAGTAGTTAAGAGATACTCATCAATGTTTACCAGTATAATAAGAAGAGCGAAACTTTCCTATTATGAGAGTAGATTCAAAGAAGCAAAAGGCAACATGATAATCACATGGAAAGCCGTCTCTAACATCCTAGGATCTAAACAACATTCACATAACCAGATAAAACTCTCAGAGGATGGTTATACACCGTCAACTGATTTAGAAACAGCAGCTGAATTTAATAGTTTCTTTTGATCAGTTGGTGCTGCTAACCTTGCCAGAAAAATCCCAGACTCAGATATATGTTAGCACATATCTCTCAGGCAACTATCCAAACTCTCTTCTCCTTTCACCAGTCAGCCCGACAGATGTTGTGTCCATCATACACTCACTAAAAACCAAAGCTGGAAACATTAGTGAAATACCATCCATGGTATACAAGAGTGCCTCCCATGCCCTTGCACCACCCATAGCTCTGCTGTTCAATAAATCTCTAGAGTATCACACCTTCCCTGATATCCTTAAAAAAACACGAGTAACGCCATTTCATTAAGGAGGTAATCCGGCAGACGTAAACAATTACAGACCACTATCAAACCTACCCATATTATCAAAAATATTTGAAAAAAATATTTACAAACAGCTCTACTCCTACCTCGTAAAATTCGACATTCTTAGCCCCTATCAGTTTGGCTTCCGCTCCCAAAAGAGTACCAACGATGCAATTATTAGTCTGCTTGATATAATTTACTCAGCCCTTGACAAAAATGAGTTTCCAATTGGATTCTTCGTTAACCTGAGGAATATATATATATATATGTTTTGTTTCCTTTCTAATGATGGTTCAATTGGTAGCCTTAACTAGGACTAGTTAACTGCAGGAGCTTCACCTCTGGCCTCCAGCGAGGCCCAGTTATAGTGGTGATAGTTACCATAGTCATACACGTCCTCTGTAACTAGCAGACATGTTGTTATAGATTCAGCTACTCGGAACAAGTTCCAAGTAGCACGGGCTATGGTGAGCCCATAGTGGACTTACCTGGCACAGGAGCGGTGCTGAATGACTAGCAGACAACATACACACAACATTTATAACTTCGTAAACCAACATTAAATTCAAATAAAACTTTTGTACTCATTACCAACTATTAATGTATGTCACACTAAGCACATTTCCCATAGAATTAACTGCGTAACTAATTTAGGATTTAAATAATCAGTTATAGTTTTGTCACAGTAAATTTAATCCAATTTCCATAACAAATTAAAAAAACGTAGATTTCTTTCCAATATCTTTTAATAACAATACGAATAATGTAATATCAAATCAAATCAAATGTTTATTTAGGTAAGGTACATACATACAAGAGATTTTACAAAGAGTGATGGATTTATAGATAGAGCTAGTACATACAATGCCTAAAGCCACTATTACGCAAAGCGTTTCGGGCATAAATATGAACCACGGTCACCATAGGGACGTCAATAAGGCCAGCACCATGGGAGGATTGTAATGTAGATGTAGTAATTACTCCCTTGGAAAAGAAAAAAATGTATGTATGAGATAGGAGAGCTGAGGGCAACATATGATTGCATAATTAGAAAATTACCTACAGAAAACACTCTACATGTATATTGTGATGGGGTCAGTAGCTAGGGATGGGATGGCAGGATGTGGAGTCTTGATCAGGGAGTACACTGACATCGGCACTGTAGATACTGTTATTGGACGCCGCTTAACTGACAATGTCTCTTCAACGCAGGCTGGAGTATTAGCAGGATTACAGGAAGTAGTCAAATGTGGTAAAAATGCTTGCTTCTTTATTGACAGCAGAGGAGCGTTAGAGTCTTTAAATAGCAGGCGACCAGTTTACCAGAATATTGTGATGGAGTGTAGAGAGAATGTTAAGAAATTAGGAAAAACTGGGTGTAAAGTAACATTCGTGTGGATCCCTTCACATGTGGGAATACTGTTGAATGAGATAGTTGATGAGATAGCGAAGAGAGCCACGATAAAAACTCTTGTCGAAGTTGTATGTCAGTTAACCTTAAAACAAATAAAAACAAGTATCAAGATGATCCAAGAGGGTGAAGAAATGATAAAGAGAATGGCAACGGTGGACAGTAGTAACACACTTAAGAATTATTCAGTAATAAATACAAATTCGTCCTTCACCTATGGTAGAGGAAAGTCTATCTGGAAGGATTCAATTTACATGAGATTAAGATTAGTAGTAGGCATCCTTTAGTCTCTGAAGACTATGGAGTTGCTAAAGGCTGGGTAGGTAGATATGGAGGAGAAGCTGTTACCCATGCAGCAGGTCTCCCCCTCTCCACGTTGCTGAAATTATCCAATAGAAAGGCAAATGCCAATACACATGGTTCCAGCAACGTCGCAGGAGCTCCCATTAATAATAAGATATGCAAATTAAGATTAGGATACAAATATATCTGGCAATACGGTGTTGATGTCAGTGAAAAAGATAAGGAGTGTAAATTATGTAGTATGCCGCACGCCCACACCTTAGAACATTATGTATTAGTGTCAACTTATTGATAACTATAGAAATAAGGAAATAAGTAGTGTACCACATCAAATTGTTTGGATGTGTGATAATGGTATGATAGACAGTATACTTAGGAGCTACAAGAATTTTGCCCCAAGAGTGTAACAATTATATGCTGTGCTTACTATATTAACCTGCAATGTTAAATGGGATTCTTGTATTGTGATTTGTGGATTTGTACTCACTGAATTTGTGCGCCCCTTGAGGGACTTGAAGTAGAGGGGGGTAGAAATAGCCTAAACTTCTCTATTCCCTTGAGATGTATTTTTTTCTTGTCTCAATAAACATACTTGAACTTGAATAAGGCCAGACTGGGTTGATGGGTCTTTATTTATTACTGTTACAATATTAACAATTCAATAAAGACAATATTAGTGACATGTTGTGTGATGATTACATATTATTAATCCACGAAATGATTATGTAGAAGGAGTTTAGCGAAGAAATTACAAGTAATAAGATGCGTTACAGAGAAAGGTTGAATCCTACCAGGCCATCCTGCAGGTGGCCTTGTTAATGTTGTTCTCGAGTAGGCGAGCGTTCTTGTTCAGTTCCTCCTCAAACCCTGCCACAACACTCCGCCCGTTGATGCCAATGTCATCGTTGATGAGGTCAGCGCCCTCAAAACGAACCTGAAACACGTTATAAAGGTCTTAATAATCCTGATTGCATAAACAAAAATTATCTTTCCGTTGTATAACTCGAAAAAATTGCTTTAAAATTCTGAGTAAATTACTAATCCAAATTATAGTAAAGGAATATATAATCCTGAAGACGTTTTCCGCTTCTCGGTGTATACATAAAGAAAATTTACTTCTCTTAGTGAGCTCGTATAGTGGTCTCGTAGCCCTACACCTTACCCGGTACCAGAAGGCATCAGCACAATACTTACGAATAGTTTGTCAATGCTGAGGTCGATAAGGAGAGACTCTTGCAAGATGCATAATGACACGGGCAAGAGGTTGTAGCTCTGAGTCTTGAAGGACACCTTCACGCTGAAGTTCTCCATTAGGATCCTGTCGAGAGCAGAGCAAGGATTAGGATTTAGGTTTACACCTACCGATATATTGACACAACTTTAGTATTAAACGTTAGACGATTGGATACAAGCACTACTTGACGGATTACAAGTGGAAGAAGTTGTACACGTACTCTCCCACTCCGCGAGCCACGATTTTCTTTCCCTTGTGGGTGCCGTAGAGATTATAGGCGTCGCTGGACAAGTACAGACTCTCTATCACCAGTTCCAGTTCCACCTGAAAATCAGAAGCCTCAGTATGTGCACTTAAATAAATGGATAATTTTGTTGGTTACTTTGCTCCCTGTAATATGGAATCCATGTCTATAATAGAATCATAATTAAGCTCATTTAATATCTGAGCTTAATTAAAATATATATTATTTAATATAAGAACATAAGAAGTAAGACACACAACAGTAGGTCTACTGACCAAAACAAAATAGGTACCTATGAACAAATCCACAAGGGCCGTGACGAGAGTTCGAACCTACATTTGAGAGGAATTAGGTTTGAACCCATTCTTAGGTTGGAACCCTCGTCACGGCCCTTGTGGATTTGTTCATTTGATGCATCACGCTATTGTGATTTCTGTGTGTAAAATAGGTACCATTTACACCCAACCATTTTCACTCATACAACTATCAATCCTAAGTGTAATAGTTATACAATTGTCAGCCTCAATAATGCAAACTGTCAATTCCTTTCGTCTATAACACTTGGCAAACCCATATTTATAATATGGGAGACGAAACTACAATAATAATACTCACAACATTGGAGATGAGCGGGATAGGAGGGAGGAAGTGGGTAATGTAGGCGTCGTCATAGCCTAGCACAGAGGTGTTCCAGGCGCTCACTATAACACTGTGGACACAAAGAAAATCAAACCTGCGCACTGGGTACTTCCCAAGCTTAGGCCTTAAGCCACTGTACCTTAGGGACACTGGACACAAACACCACAACCTCAGAACTTGTCATGAACCTAATATATAAGCACTATACAACACACACCAGAGGGGCTCCATGGAGACAGGTTAAGGTCCTTGTAAGAGAGAGAAAATGAAGCAGTAAAGTACCTGGTGACGGGGGTGTTGATGTGAACTCCGGTGACGATAGGAATGATGAATTGGTGGAACTTCTTCAGCTCACTCTGGAGCACACTGGTCAGACTATTCTCCAAGAAACTGCCTGTTAACACCGTAAAAAAAATCGCAATAAGGAACATTGAAAATAACTTACTGAAAACTGAAATAACTAACTGAAAATAACCAAAATAAACATGTTTGAATGTGAAAAAGTCCATTTGGTACATAACAGCATGATGTGCTCACCGCCAAATATAGGCAGGATGGAGGCCACGCAGATTGCAACTTGCAAGGTAAAAGGTTTCAACATGGTGCCAACGGTGTCCGCTTCAACAGTAGTAAACAAACTGGAAGATGCAAAAATATATTACAAATGTCATATTTATTTATATGTCTGATTTTATTCCATATGAATTTCTCCATTTTGTTTTTATTTATCCAACAGCCGAACAACCTCACGACGTTGGTGGAAAGAAGGAGAATTTATGCTGTGATAACAACGTATAGAATATTGAAAGGAATTGAAAAATGGTAGGATAAGAGGTAGTTGGAACTACCAACTACCACCTGGGATAACAACCTTAGACAATCAGGAAGGTCGTTAGAAAACACCTCTTTACACTCAGGGTTGCAAACAATAATTATAATAGCCTCTAATAAGATATCGAGGTGCGATCAATAAGCAATTTCAAGAGGAAGTACGACCAGAGGCAAGATGAATAAAATTAATAGTAAATTCTTCACACCAAAACACTTATCTGTTAGCAGTGGAAGAAGGGACTTACCTGTGAGGAGGCGCTGGAGTGACAGTGATCATCATCATGCTGCTTGTGACATATATTGTCCTGGCAGACAGGAGGGGTGAAGGTGCGCTCTCTTCATGATATTAAAGTTAAACTTGCTGATGTTTTACGAAGGTCGAATTAAGGAAATAACCCCATTTAACACAACATTAAATAAAAATCATATCCAGTATAAAAAAGCATCTCGTCAGAAAATTATACACATGACAAGATTCTAAAAGGGTGAACGTTAACATTGAGGAGCACTCACAGGGAAGAGTAGGAATGATAGTACAGGGGAAGGCATGAATGCTTTGCTTTGTTGACAGTTGCTAGGCTGTGTAGGGAGAAGAGAAAGGAAATTAAGAGTAAGTGATGGCAGGAGTTTGCAGAGGATGGGAATAACAGAAACAAGAAGGAAATCTGTCAAGACGTAAACGAATTAAGGAGTAGAAGCATAATTTTTTTGCGAATTCTTATACGGCCTTATGGATAAACGGTCAGACGCTGCCAAAATTAATTCAACGCCCACTGTAATGGGAGTTATTAGATTTTTGGAAAGACCCAAAGTGGAACTTTATATATACAGCAGACAACAGTGAAATGCAACAATACTCTGGCCACTTATCATGCAAGCCGGGTTAAAACCCGGGCTCTATCCTGTATACTAAAATGTTTCCTCTTATCTTATCTTCCATATAGTCGTAGTGGCTTGACACTTTCTCCTGATAGCTCACGTCCTCTCCTATCCCTACTTAACCAATCACTCTTGCTGGCAATCTTTTCTTTGCCGCCCAGTTAGGTGGGTGTAGAGCAAGACTAGTAACTGTGTGACTCACCATATATGTAAAGTGCCTTGTATAATTACACACAGAAATCACAATAGAGTGATGTATCAAGTGAACAAATCCTCAAGGAGCGTGACGAGGATTCGAACCTACGTCCGAGAGCATCCCAGACTGAGCTACGACATGGTATAAGAATTTTAGTAGAATTTCCAGTAGCAATTCTTATACCATGTCGTAGCTCAGTCGATTAAGACAGCGTATGGGATGCTCTCGGACGTAGGTTCGAATTCTCGTTACGGCCCTTGTGGATTTATCTTGTATAATGACTGTTGTGAGCCTCTTGTTGAATCGCTTGTGATATAAAAAGATTATCGATGTGTATATGTATTTGTGTAAATGACTGTATATATATGCTTATGTGTATATATATAACATTAATAATTGTGTAATTAGCTTCAAAAGTCTGTCACTTGCTTAACTAAACGAACTATGGGGTTCAGTTCCTGAACCCATTATGTGCCTCTGTAACTCTTTCCACCACCGCCCACGGGATGAGTATGGGGTGCATAATAAAGAAAGATACTGAAATTGTTGATAGGAACTATGTGGGGGTGTCACTTACACAGACATTACCCGGGATAAAGTACTGATGGCAATTAAAGTTGAGGAATCTACCACCCAGGGGACGATGGAATAACTTATGAAATACCATATAGCAAGTTCAATCAAGTTTATTGAGGCAATCAAATACATCTTAAAAGGATAGAGTCGCTTAGGCTATTTCTACCCTCGTCTATTTGAGAACTAAAGGGGCTGACAAATTCACACAGTACACAACTATTAATCATATTAATAATGAGACAATGAGGGTGTAAATCAACAGACAAAGTATTGGGGATAGTTTTTCAGAGTAGTATGTATTTTCAGCGATTAGATTAATGAGAGGCGGGAAGAGCTAACGAACATAATTTTTCTGGCTTTAGAAGATGGAAAGAAATGCGCAATGCATGTTAAAGTATACAATAAGAAAGTCATATATGAGATCCTTATGTGCTAATGTTACAAGATATGATGTCATTGTAGAGTTTATTGCTACCAAAATAAACAATTCAGCCGCAGACTTTAACTGTTCAAGTCTATCTTGCTCAGTACTTGTACACCCACTACAATCAGAGGTAATGTTTTTGTTATCTATGTCTGCAACTTTGCTTTGTGTAAGCCCTTTCTCATTTGTCTTTGTTTCAACATTTCCCACAACATAGGGTTGAATACTACCATCATAAGTGGATAGTTCATGGTCCTGAAGCTCTTCCATCAGTGATACATCCATCCTCTCCCTTACTTTCTCCCCCCCCCCCCTTCGTTTCACTCCCAACTGAACTTTCCGCTTCACTCCTCACTACACTCCACCTGTTTACCATAAATAACCTTTCCAAAATTACAATGCTCTTTTTGCCTCCACAGATCTCCAGTATCAGCTCTTGATACTGGTAATGGCTCAAAAGGGCCACCACTAACGGGCTATTCATACCCGTGCCACCTTTTGGGTGGCTTAATCTTCATCAATCACAATCCTCTTGTCCAGCATTTTTAGGTATTCCAAGATCTGTGTACCAACCTCAGAATTCACAAGGCTGCCCTGCACCTCATCACCACGAAGGTACACTTTTTGGTCGCGTTTCCTACTGCCACGAGGCTAGAGCCTTGATCGTCGCCGTTCCTTTTTCCCAAACGTTGGTCATGCTTTTTACTGCAAAACCAACATCTTGGGTCAAACTGGCATTTGCAAGTCATATGTCCCCAACGAGAACACTTTGTTAAATATTATGAAATATATTGTTGATTTATTTATTTATATATACAAAAGTTCTTAAATTCTTGTACAGCCACTAGCACGAATAGTATTTCGGGCTATTGGTTAGTTAAGTTCTTTAACCTAATTTTCACACACACATTCCCACGAAGTAGCGATTAAGTACGAAAGTCAAAGACTCACTAACTCGTCTTTACATTTTTAGAACTTTAGCAAAGGCGATTTATTGGGTTTTAATTTGTATACGTTTAATAACTTCCTCCCTGGTAACCACTAAATAATTGTTGGGCCAAATTACCGGATAATTTAAAAGACGTTGATATCTGGCCAAACTCATTCATATGGATGTCTAACCTTCGATTAAAACATTCCAGAGATCCTACATCTATTATGTTACCTGTTATGTTTTGATATATTTAAAACGTTATTTATATCTCCTTTGTTATACTTTTGTATCTATTTATATACTTAAATCACCACACCCTTTAATCTTCGTATTTCTAAAGAATGTAAGTTAAACTTTTAAATATCTTCACTAGGAAAGTTTCTAGTGTCTAGGGTTAACTTTGCCATCCTTCTCTGAAATCAGTTAACCCCCACCTCACCCTCGACTATATAATCCCGTAGCCTCGTAATTATTCACTCAAGCAGCACCTTGTAAGTCAGCTTTCTACCACGTTACTGTGTGTTCGGGAGTACCAAGCCACTACCGACCATGCTGACAATTGCTGCCTTTCTTGCTGCCATCTGCCTGTCTTCCAGTCTTCCTCCGGACAACCGTAAGAAAACAATGAGTATACACATACTTTGTTTAAGTAATTATAATAATAATGTTGTTGTTTTAGATTCAGCTACTCAGAACAAAAAGTTCCAAGTAGCACGGGCTATGGTAAGCCCGGAGGTGGAGGCACTTTGGAGCCATTATCTATTATCTGTTGATATTGGAGATCTGGTGATGGGGTCCGTGGACGCGCCAATCCAAGAGGACTGTAGATGACGATTGATAAAGATTAAGCCACCGTAAAGGTGGCGCAGACATGAGTAGCCTGTAAGTAGAGGCTCTTTTGACCCATTACCAGTATCAATAGCTGATACTAGAGATCTATGGATGGATGCGGGTCTTCATGGTGGATTTCAGCCTCGGAGGTTTAGTGTAGACCTCTAGGTCTTCCGTTTTTTCTTTGGCTGAGATTCGCTGCGAGTTAATATGGCCGTGCTGTCGTCGGAATTTGGTGAGGGGCCTCCACGAGGAGGTCTTGTACCGAGTAGGTGTCGTACGGCGGCGGTGGAACGCCTACTAAGATTTCCTCATCTGAGGAGTCTGTAAAATCCGTAGTTGGTATTGTTTTTCATCTTGCAGCCTGAGATAGGCTCAGGTGTCGGGGATTACTGGTAGTAGCTATTTCAGGAGTGTTGGTGGTGCTGTTAGTAATTGTAGATAGCCCGTCTGCTAGCGCATCTGCTGAGATGGTGATGGTAGGAGTGTTGGGAGCTGAAGAGGGAAATACCTCTGTTTGTGCCGCCCGGGTCTTGGGTGGTTCTGAAGTCTGTGTAGAGATCGACCTCGTGGTCGTTCTGGTGGTAGTCTCCGGAGTGGTAGTGGAGGCAGTGAGACTTGCGTCCGGGGCGATGATGGGGTCCAGGCCGTTGGCTAGGTACAGCACGTTGAGTTCCTTAACAAATCATTAATTGTCTGGCCCGACAAGCCTCTCCGCTAGTTGAATAAAACCAGGGATAATGCCTGCACGTGATGTAAGGGACTGTAAGGGTGCTGGTTGGTGCTTAGGTCCCCAGTGTGGAGGCCGGGTGGCCTGTTGGGAGGAGCCACTCTTTGGTAGGACTGGGAAGTCTTCTGGTAGGTTGGTGGGAGCTGAGGTGCTGGGTTTGATTCCGGCGTCGGAAGTAGGTTTGGCTTTACTGGATTCAGCCTGGATCCTAATGATTTCCTGTATGCGAGGGCAGCGGTGGGAAATTGCAGGGTGATCGCCGCTGCAGAGCAGGCAGCAATGGGTTTTTGACTTGCATATGGAGTAATGATGGTCCTGGCCGCAAAGGCTGCACTTCTGGACAGGGTGCTGACACTTGTTGGTGGGGCGGGAATAATCGTAGCGCCGAAAGCACTGTTGGATCTCATGGAATTGTTCCTTCTTCACTTGGAAGGGTGGAATCTTGATGGCGAAGCAGACCATATGTGTGGCAGCCCTGTTGGCCGCGGCTAAGATGGTGAAGGATATCTTCATGGTGGGGCGCTTGTCGTCGTCGGTGCTACAGAATATAACATCAAATACCCTCAGGTTCGGGTTTTCTTCCTCGATGTTGGCAATGATCTCTGTTCTCGGTCCGCGATCCAGCGGCTGGTCCCATTGATAAAGACTGTTCGGTTGGCGGTGTTCTGGCGTAGTAAGAGTAAAGAGGTGGTCCACTTAACGAAGTGTGCGATCGAATTTTTGGAGTTTTTCGAGATTATAATAATACATCTACATTTCCTTGCCATGCTTCAGTTTAGTCATTGTGTTGGGTACAGTTGATGTGGCAATGTGTCCACAACAACCGGCTTTTACCATACTAGTTTACCGTCTTGGAGCAGTTGCCAACCCACACTATGTTTACAGTGGGGCTCGTGGAGATGGAACTAACGAGGATGCTGCGGAGCCAGCTGAGGCCCCTACACCCTCACGTCGTCAGCACCATCCCCGACGTCACCCTCGACACCGACTTCCTCAGGTACAGCAAAACTTTGTTTTTTGGGATATTAATCACTTTCAGTGGTTAAGTGCTTAATGACACACAAGAGTCTATAACAGCTTTCTTGCCCTGTCAAAGTAGGAGACATAAATATCAGACCATCCCCAGTTTAGGTAGTACTTATAATATTACTATAAGTAGTTACTACTTATAATAATTACTTATAATACTACTTATAGTAACGATGAGGACCATTGTATACATATATTGACGTAAAAGACAATTAGAAAGTAGAAATCGGTACTATTGACAAACCAGAAAGGTTTTGGACCGATGTTGGAAACCTCCTAGGCCTAATACACGCTGAGGCCTATTATAGTACATATATGTGCTATACTAGGTCAATTGTCCATTACGTCTATGTATGTACGAAGGTCCACATAGTTACAAAAAGTACTATGTAAACAGGCGGATGGGTTGTAAACCTGTGTGTGTGTATACTGGGTATGTGCAAGCTGGTCACAATTGCATTTCGCCTTTGTAAACGCACATTAATGACGTGTAAAAAACATACCTGGAACACTGTTTATGTAGGACAGACGTAAATCTGTGTATTTGTGTATGTAGGACAGACGTAAATCTGTGTATTTGTGTATGTAGGACAGACGTAAATCTGTGTATTTGTGTATGTAGGACAGACGTAAATCTGTGTATTTGTGTATGTAGGACAGACGTAAATCTGTGTATTGGTGTATGAAGGTTAGATTAGCATTTTAAAAGTACTACAATCACCATTTTTGGTTGAATAAATCACTGAACTATATGTTTAACAGATCTCTAACCCATGTCCATGGAGGACAAGAAAATTTATAGATGTTGGTTAGCATTATATATGTATGGCCACGTCTGTGGTAGAAAAAAATAATATCTTAGTAAATAATGGTTGGATGAGTGAAACTTTGTCATGTAGACCTCTGCAGCGGCAAGTCGTGGTCAAGTAACGCTGGATCTCTTAGTACAATAGGCTTCGTTCTTGACTCGTAATCGGATCCCGTAACGTACAGGGAGGTAACCTAATTCTATTTTAAAGGCCTCTAAAAACAATTAAGGATACTAATCTTCCCTGCCGAACGTGGTGTCCGTAAGACTGAAGTTGCCGGATCAGTCTGGAGTCTGTAGATGGCCAGATGCTCCTAAATTAAGACTAGTCTTGATAAGCAGACTTCAGAACACCTATGCAATGGCGGTTGTCTCGTGTCTCTCGCCAGTAATGGCGTCTTCTCTTTCTCCTGCTCGAAAGTTGCGCATGCGCATAGCTCCCAGTAGGGGCTCCGAGCATAAATTATATGGAAGGAAATGCGTTGTGACAAATATTTACGTCACAATAAAGGTATTATGTGGTGACACCTCTTTTTTCGTGATGTAGTCAATTAATTTAGACGATATTAAATGAACGAGAAAAGGGAGTCGAGATACAATTTATTCACCGAGACAGCAAATCGTGGCTGCATAAATTAATTCCAGTAAACAATGATAAATTTATTAACGAAAAGTGAATCTATTAATAAATGATTATCCTTAATAAAAGACAAAATAAAGCTAGATTCTACTCGATATGAAATGTTCCTAAGGAAAATTATATAACGCTCTGCATCCTAATGCAATAAATTCTGTGATACTAAACTACGGATTAGTAATGTTAGTTAATTATAATACTTAGTACAGGAAATACATCCTAATGTACTAAGGATTAGTAAATGAGTATTAAATAATAATGAAGCCTAATACAGGAAATATATCCTATTGTATTAGGGATGAGAATAATTGTTGGAAATTTCCAACATACAGCCACCAGCGTGCATAGCGTTTCGGGCAAGTCTTTAATCTTAGTATTCCCCAGAATACGACCCGCCAAATCGTTTAACAATCAGGTACACATTTTACTTTTGGGTAAACAGAGGCTACAGTTAAGGATTGGCGCTCAGTAAATCCTCCCCGGCCAGGATACGAACCCAGACCAAAGCGCCCGTGAAACTCCAAGCGAGTGCCTTACCAATACGCCGCTGGGATCAAATCTGCAGTAACAGTAAAACACTAAAATATCTTTACACTACACTACACTACAAACAAATACACCTACACGATTTGTTCACCAAAATATCTTATTTTGGATGAGGAAACGTGATCGACATTTGTTACATTATGTTAATTATATATCTTTTTGTTTCTATATTGAACTGATTGGAAAAAGTTCAGCTTTTAATCACATTTGGAAAGACATTGTAAAATTTAGAACCCTAAATTTGCATAGCATTTCTGTTTTGGTTGAGTATGAAATAGACACTTGTTTCTAGTGTGGTGCCCATGGGTACCGTTACAGCCCTATAGGAAGCATTTGAGGTCGAGATTAGTATTGCAATTTTGTGTTTTGTATATAGAGATTACACTAGAGTGTGTGTAGTGACTTGATACTCAAGTATTGCAGTATGGATGCAAAGTTCTACCTGGGACTGGAGTTGTTATTGTTCAGAGTGCTATTTATGTTGAGTAATAATGGGTCATGGGTGATTTTGGATCATAGAACCCTAGGCACAGATACCGTGAGATGTGGATAGGTGAGTGAATAATAAAGTGTTACCAATGGCTGATCTGGTTTTAGACAGAATGCCTACTGTTTTAGAAACTTTGTTTATATTTTGTATATGGAAAATTTAAATTCAGTTTGTTAATGTGAATACCAAGGCATTTCCTATCTACTCTGCACTCAATTTGGGTATTGAAGGTTTATTAATAAATTTAATTATTAATAACTTTAATTATAAATTATATAAATGATAACATTAACGTTGATAACATTAATAACATTAACGTTGATAATATTAATAACATTAACGTTGATAACATTAATAACATTAACGTTGATAACATTAACGTTGATAACATTAATAACATTAACGTTGATAATATTAATAACATTAACGTTGATAACATTAATAACATTAACGTTGATAACATTAATAACATTAACGTTGATAACATTAATAACATTAACGTCGTAAGTTAACAATACACTGTACTTGTTGAATTAAAATGACTTGAAGTTTAACATCGTAAGATTAACCATGTATATTAAACTTGGTAAGTGTAAAAAGGGTATATTTAATAATGCGTAACTTCCAGAGAGTAAGTCTAACAATGGGGACCTACACTGGTAAAAGTGCTACCTTTGGTAAAATAACAATGTAATGCAGTAACAGTGTGTGTTAGCATTGTATTGCCGGGTTCCAGCGGACCTCCCCCCCCCCCAAGAAATCCCAACCTACAGTTTAAGGTGGTTAATAGGGTTAACGGTGTCAAAGGCCTTACGCAAGTCAATAAATAAACACAGGCTTCCTGTCCCCGACAGTGGGAATTGTCATCAAATTCACTGTCACATCAATGTTGTTTGTCCAGCTTTGCATTTATGAAGAGTAGGTTTGGAGTTTATCTGTTTCATAGTTGCATTGTTTACCATGTTTTTGACCCCTGATGCTTATCTGTCCACAGTATTGTGTTAAGTGCCAGGAACATCGTCCTTACTGGCTTCGACGAGACCTTCATAACTGGCTTTGTACCTCCTCTCCCTCTAATATCTGACGACGTGAGTATTACTATTTTTTATACTTTACACACCTGCAATATTCCACACATCTTTGAAATATTACTGCATAATAAAGTATTTCGCAGATAAGTGACCAGTTCGACCCAATTTTCAATTGTCTACACTTTGTTTATAATGGCGTGTTGCAGGTGAGGATCTATGCTCTGGTGGAAAACCTGTTTATCCACACCCAGAACTATGCCTTGAGAGGCGTCCACCGAGGTCTCTACACCTCGGCCTCAGGCAGGGGCAGGTAAGTTCCTCCTCGCTTAACATGTTACTATTGTTATTCATAATTTGTTTCATAGTATCTCAGTTATCAAAACATTTATCTAATACCTTTCCGAACTGGTGTAAACTCTGCACCTGTTGTCCACAGTTTGTTGGTGAAGAATTTCCGCGTCAGTATGTTCTTCAGAGCTGAGAGCTATAGCTTGCTACCTTTTTCTTTGTGTGTTGAGAGAAACTCCCTGAAGTTCACCCTCCGAGCTGACGCCATACTCGTAAGTACAGGGATGATGTGGGAGAAGCCTTTCCCTATGATGTGGGATGATTGATTGATAAAGATTAAGCCACCCAAGAGGTGGCACGGGCATGAATAGCCCGTAAGTGGTAAAAAAAAAATTTTCTCAGTATTCTGAGGTTGCATTTAACCATCAAGCTGTTATCGTGGGGGAGGATACTGCTTCACAGTCTTTATGAGGGTGTCCAGCTGCTGGACACCTTTGTTGACCAGGAGAGTGGCTGTGTTGATGGCTTCAGGGTGGCCACTGCATGATTCAGGAACTCTTAAAGCTCTTCTAAGGTCATTGGTTGCTTCACATTCCAGAAGATAGTGAAGTAATGGCTTTTCTGTGACAGTTTGGCAGAAGATGATGTGGGAGAAGCCTCTCCATTTACATAAGCAAATCTAACATTTTGAAATAAACTTGTACACTTCTAATGCGGGAAATGTATATATGAATGAGATTGATTGATTAATGAAGATTAAGCCACCCAAAAGGTGGCACGGGCATGAATAGCCCGTAAAGGAGTAAGAGTAGAAGTGGTGTTTATATACTGTACTTGGTTCCGGTTTTAGTGTGGACTGGAGGGAGCAGAGAGCTTCAACACAGACGTCCAGAAGCACAGCCACGCCGTCCTCGCCGCCGCACAGAGGCAGATCAACAGTCACTCTCACCAGCTGGCCGCCTCCATCAACTCCCTCACCTGCAGGGATTACTAGGCACATGGGTACGTCTCCATCTGTAATAGTTGACCAGACCACACACTAGAAGGTGAAGGGACGACGACGTTTCGGTCCGTCCTGGACCATTCTCAAGTCGATTGTGATGAGGAAGTAGAGACAGGCTTCTACTCATCACAATCGACTTGAGAATGGTCCAGGACGGACCGAAACGTCGTCGTCCCTTCACCTTCTAGTGTGTGGTCTGGTCAACATACTTTAGCCACGTTATTGTGACTCATCGCCTGCATCTGTAAGAGTTTCTTCTCTACAATTAAATGTTATACTTATTTTTTAAGTATAGGATACATAATATTTACTTTACTAATTTATACATATATGAAAAGATACAAATGAAAATGTGTTGTAGCAAATCATCTGTTATTGACAATTGCCACGAAGACTAAACAATAGTTTCTCAGGTGAATGTAAATTAATTGTTGGTCTTGTGACAGCGTGAGGGAGTCAGAAATAAACTGTATATATATAAGAGTCTTCGCTATAAGATATGTAAACAGTTTACATGTAGACGCAATCTAGGTAATCGTCCCGACCAATTAGTGGGTCGCAAAAAAATAAAATTGGTCACGACATTTAAAATTCACAAAAACTAAGCAAGTAAGAATGACAATCTCATTCGCACTCATTACTCATCATTGTAATTTACAAGTGATGGTAAGATTGTTGCTCAGCTGCTCGCAAATCATCGCTAGTTTCTCATAGATTTGTTCCCATAATTAGGTAGATTTAGCAATTAAAATCTATCAGTAGGTATTGTGAATGCATTCAATACATATTGTTAATAATGTTTATTATGTTAATAAAAAAACGGAAATATTTATAGATAATATCATTGATTTTGTTGTTCTATTCTCTAACATTTTGAAGATCATCCTATTTATTTATATATATACAAGAAGGTACATTGGGTTTATGAGAGTACATAGCATTGATAATTTTATATTCTTGTAAAGCCACTAACACGCATAGCGTTTCGGGCATTGAACTTAACAAGAAACTTGAACTTGACAAGAAAGTGCGCAAGAGTGCAGCGTGCGTGAGGTGTACTGGCGCCATATTTACACGGGTACTATGTTAACTCCACTGTTTTCTACTAAATAAACCTTCGTAAATTAGCGAAAACATACTATTTATTGCTTTTAGATATCATGCGCCTCCGGGGAGGGATTGATTATTATTTTTTTCCACCTAAGGTCAATAGGCTCAAATTAACAATAACTCAAAAACTGTGTTCTTTAGCTCAATTTTAGACACCAATTAATTTAGAATCGTGAATTACATCCAGAAAATGTTATAAAACTAGAACTCTCGAAGCGGGATGTACAATATTTTCAAATGCAAAAATTTGAAACTATAAAGAAAAA